AACCGGAGTTCCAGAAGGACAGCTGGTCTTCCTTGCCCCTCCTTCCAAGGGCACAGGAACTGCCTCGCCATGTGCCTGCCACCCCACCCCATGTCCACTCCCAGGCATGCATGGCACTGCTGCTCACTGATCTCATGGCACAGCTGGCCTCGGGGGTATCAGCTGCTTCATAATGCGTGACAAATCATTGTGGTTAACTTAACTCATCCGGGTCACCTAGAGTTGCTCGCCAGATATTTGCCAAGAAATGTGCAGAGTGAGTGCTGCAGGGAGAGGGAGAAGGGTGATGTGGAAGAAGGCCATGGGTATGGCTTTTCCCTGGCTCATCTGCTTGCTCCTGGAGCTCTGCCCAGATCCTGGAGTTCAGATGCAGCCGGCCCTGGGCTTTGGGGACTGAGGCTGGGATGTAGCCAGGGCAGCCCTTAATTAGGTGTAGGTCGCGGGGCCTCGGTGAGTGAGTTTTTTCTTAGCCCTGACTTGGTCCTGATTTTCAAGGCTTGGCTGAGAACATAGACCATTAAGCTGGATCTCGGAGCCAAATGCCCTGGAATGGTGTCAGAGCACAGACTGCCGGAGGCATTGTGGCATGGCAGCCCTGTGCAGTACCAGCATCCCATCCTGGGTTCTGGGCCCAGAGGCTCTGCTTCCTAAACTACTCCCTGCTCACACTGCTAAAGTTGCGGATGTTGGTGCCAAGTACCTAGACCCCCGCCACCCACGTGGGAGACCTGAGTAGTGTTCCAGGCTCCTGGGTTAACCTTGCCCTGCCCCAGGCATTGTTAAATCTTTTTAGGGAGTGGACCATCAGATGGAAGATCTGTCTCTCTTTCTGCCTCTCAAATAAATATAGTGCTGGGTCCTGCCTCCATAGTGTCTTATGTAGAAAGGTTGTGAAGGGGCTGGGAATGTGCATTTCCACCAACTTCGCAATACTGATGATGCTGCCAGCCACCTGGGCTTGAGATCTGCTGACTGAGAGTTTATCTGCGGAGCTGCAGCTCTTGGTGCGGGGGACTGGAGGAAGTTGTCCAGAACCTTCCCTTCTAAGGTGGAAACCAACTGTGAACGCACAGAGGAGCCGGGGTCATGGGTGGGAGGAACAAGGGTCTCCAGGGTTCACAGACCCCTGGGCAGGCCAGGAGCCAGGAGTATTTCCCTAATCTTGCATGACCTCACTGTGGTCTTGTGAAGTCACCTCTGCTCTCTGGGCCTCAGTTTGCCCATCTGTAGAATGAGCAGGTAGTCTCTGTCTGTGTTACTGTGTTGTCATTTTTTTAAAAGATCTATTTTTTTTTTATTGGAAAGTCAGATTTTTACAGAATGAAGGAGGAGAGGCAAAGAGGAAGATCTTCCATCCACTGGTTCACTCCCCAAGTAGCCACAACGGCTGGAATTCAGCCGATCCAAAGCCAGGAGCCAGGAGCTTCTTTTGAATCTCCCACACTGGTGTAATGTCCCAAGGCTTTGGGCTGTCCTTAACTGCTTTCCCAGGCCACAAGCAGGGAGCTGGAAGGGAGTGCAGCAGCTGGGATACAAACTGGTGCCCATATGTGATCCTGGGTGCTCAAGGTGGGGACTTTAGCCTCTAGGCTACTGTGCTGGGCTCCATGTTGTCATTCTTTACAACATGAAAGGAAACAGAATGAACTGGGTGACCAAAAGGGTGTGGAGGCAGAAGCATCTGTGGCAGGCATATGAGGCACTGGGAGCCTGTGCAGTGGAATCCGCCTTAGGTTTGGACATGGCTCTGATATCCAGCAGCTGTTGGTGCTGGGGCAGACCACCCAGCCGGGCAGAGCCTTGGCCCCATGTGCACGTGGGGCTGAGATGTTGACTTTGTGAGGTTGCCATGGGAAATGGAGGCATGCATGTTGAGTGCCTGGCCAGCAGTGTTTGCTGTGGTGGTAGTGATGGGAGGTTATTTTTGCTTTTTCCAAGACTTGATGGAACAGGAGAACAGGCTTGCCCCAGTCCCTACCTGCTGGTGGAGAATGATGGGGAGCTCAGAGCTTCCAAGGGCACCTCAAGTTTTCCATGAGAGGCTACCCAGTGAAAAGCATGCCTTTGCAGGCTTTTCAGGACCTGTTCTTTCTCTTATTCCCCTTTGTGTGGGAGAAATTTAGCCCATATTTATTAAGGGTCCGCTGTGTGCCCCATTTGGTGCAGGCAATGGGGACACAGTGAGGACAGGTGTCCCGGGGTATCTGCTTCCTGGGGAACTTATCATCTGGGGAGAAGCAGATGCTCATTTGTGGCTCATGTGGAAGTAGGTGAGTGTCAGCTGTGAGGTTTGCTCCAAAGGAGACTGCAGGTGGGCAGGGGCACCTGGCCTAGTGGGGAGGCAGAAGGGAAGGCCAGGAAGGACTCCAGGAATCAGCCACTGGAGGCTAGAGTCTGAAGGTAGCAGGGTCTTGCGTTGAGGAGGGAATACAGAGTCTCCAGGGCTGAGGGAAGTGCCTGTGCAAAGGCCCTGAGGCAGGGAGCCTAGGAGGGATGAGGAGGATGGGCACCTGGGAGTCCAGTCTTCCTCAAAAACCACAGAGCTCTGGACATTTGCATGCAGGGAGTTGGCTGTGGGAGGGGTCTCAGATCCCTCCTCTGGATATAGCTGCAAAAGTGCTCTTGAAGCCAGAGGGGAAAGGGGAGAACTATTAGGATACAACTGCGGCAATGTCTGGACAGTGGTGCTGGTGGCTGGGCAGGGCAGGCATGCTTTTGAGACAGTCGGGAATGGCTGTGTTTGGAAGAACCTGCTGAGCTTGAAGGTGGTACATGTGGCAGGTGGGAGGGGCTTGGATGGTCCTGGCCATCTTGATTCCCAGCTGGGCAGGTAAGGTGGGTGGTGGTGATGGCTTTCCTGAGCTGGGTGCTGTCTGTCCTCCAGGGTGTTGGAGAGCCCACTGGTTGCTGCCCATGCCTGGATGCTCTGTGGGGTCCCAGGGACCCCACCTCTCCTGGGATGCCTTAGCTCCCATCCTTGTCTCTTGTGAACCCTTCCCTATAGCCTCCTGTGAGGACCGGTGACACTGTTTCCTCACCCTAGGCATTGTCCCTCGCTGCCTTCCCTGGCTTCCAGGCTTTCTCTCACAGTGGCCATGTCTTCTAAGTTGCTGGCTCTCTGAAACACCTACTATATGCATCCTTTTGTCCAGGTCCTGAGAAGGAGCCCTGGGTAGGTGTTGGGAGACTACCAGTGGGAGGGACACCAAGCTGTTCTCGGTGCACCATCCCATGGCAGAAGACTGGGAAACCCAGAACTCACTTCCCAGGGAGTGACCCAGCTGACTCCTTCGAGTTCTTTGTTGTGGCCTGGTTCAGCCACAGGAATAGGACCATCCAGCCATTTCCCCGTATCTGTCCCAGACTCCAAGTTAGGGCCCTTAACCCCTGTACTAACAAAGCCCTACTCAATGGAAAAGAGTGTCCACACACAACTGCCTGTCAACAAAGTGACCACTGTGGCCCCAGGCAAGGGGGTGGAGCCGAGAACCTGGGTGAGTTTTGGCCTGCTGTTGGCCAAGACTGCTCCAGGGAAGGCCTCTGGCTCTCAGTTCCTGGGTCAGGCCTCCTGGGGGCCAGCTGTCCTCTGTTCCTCTAGAGGCAGGAAGAAGGGGGTGGAGTGGACCTGGGCTTTCCCTGGGATTCTCTCGAGTGGGAGAAACCAACCCAGTGCTTCGCCTCTATCCCACTCTACAGCTTGGAAAACTGATACTTTGGGATAGGAAAGTCCAAGACTGGATGACTCCAGCCTGGTCAAATCCCAGTGTCTTAGTTTCCCACATTCTTGCTCCATCTGTCCTCACCCAGAAAACACCATTGGCCTTGGGCTTCTCAAAAGCAGAAGGAAGAACTCTGTAATGTGCAGTGGCTTGGTTGTGCATTTGCTAATAACCGGACGCCCTGACGCTGCCTGGTACCAGCCTTCTGTTCTTGGACCTGCTGCACAGTGTGCTGGCCCTGAAGTCTTTACGCCGCAGTTCCCAGAACAAACCAGGACCTTCTTTCTCCAGCCTTGGGAGGGCAGGGAACAGGGTTTAAGTGCAACCTGGGGAGCTGTGGGCCCTGCTCCCCGAGTCTCAGACCAGACTCCTGCTTGCTTACCTCCTTAGGCCACAGCAGGTGCTGGAGCCAGGGGAGGCCTGGGAGAGGGTGGCTGCTTGTTGAGCATTGTTCATGAATAGGCACAGAGCTAGGGCTGATTCACAGGGCCTTCTGTGAAGCCGGGGGTCGGGACGAGAAGGTTGCTCCCTCACCTGGTACAGCTCTGTTCTTGGTCAGGACACAAGCCAGCCCCTGGCCCAGGGAGCCACAGTCTGCAGAATGGGTAGGTTAAAGGGGGTGCATAGTTAGTGGGGACACCATGATTACTAGAAGAGAAAGAACGAGATGTCCGTCCTAGGGACGCTCAGCCACCCTTTCCCCCCAAAAGCAGTTTGGCACCCAGCCTCTGAAGCCGCAGCTGCAGCAGCGGGTCTTGCGGCTGAGGCAGGGGGCAGAGCAGCTATGGAAAGCAGATTTGGGCCATCCGTCCAAAGAGCCTGACGACCGAGGGGACAACTGCCCCGAGCGCCAGGAGCCCCTGCTCCGGCTCCGCGTGGCACTTCCGATCCCGGCCGCCCGCTCGCCCAGCCTCGCGCCCCGCCCCCGGGCGCATGGCGCCCCCCACCCCGACCCGCGCCCGGCCCCGCCCCGCCCGGTTTGCCCACCCCCCGGCCCGCCCCGCCGTCCTAGTCTGCTCCCGCCGCGGCCCGCACAGTCCCAGCTCGAGCGAGCCGACCGGCCAGGTCGACAGCTGCCTCTGCTCTCCAATCGACCACTTCAGGCTTCCGGAGCCAACGGTCCAGGCAGCGGCGTCGCCCGGTGCGGACCGGGAGTGAGCAAGCAGCAGAGGGCCTCCAGCGCCACTGGGCAGCCCCAGGGCGCGTCCCGGTTTCGTCCCAAGCCTGCGCTGCTCGGGTCTTGGGCGCCTGCCGGGCCCGCGTCTCCCCGCGCGCGGCCACATGGCTCGGCTCGGCGCGCTGCTGTCCTGCCTGCTGCCCTTACATTGCGCGCTCTGTGCCGCCCCAGGCAGCGGGACCCCAGGTGCGTTGCGGGGCGGGCGTGCAGGGTCCTGTGAAGTCAGGGGTGCTAAGGTGCGTGAGACAGCCGCACAGGACTCCAGTGGGTGGGAGGCAGGTGGGAGATAGTGCGCACACTGGGGATGTAGCTGTTTTCTTCTGTTCTCCGTGTGCCCCTGGCACTGTCCTACTGTTTCTCTTTAGGACAGAATCTGGGGACACCGACTATCTTCCTAGGGGCTGGTAACTTGTCTCTGGCTCTGCTCTGTGGGTCTTTTTTTTTTTTTGCCCCCACTAGTTGCTCTATGTCCAATTTGTGTTGCATGTGTTCAGCTGTCACACATACAGAAGCAGGCTAGCAGGTGATTGCTGCAAGAACACGGGACACCTGTTCTCTAGCAGAGAGGTACGGGTCCTGGCCTTGGCCCAACAGATTGTTCTGAGACTCTAGATTATCTTCGTGCGTGGAAAATGGTATCCACCACCTGCCACCTGCTGCTCTTACCTTCTAGCTCCCGTGCCCTCCATGTGCTCTGAGCTTCAAGAGGGACATTGTAGGCACCGTGTATGTTGTTCTGTCAGTCTTTTTCCCATGCCGCCACAGGCCGCTTCTTCCAGCTGCCTTGGGGTCTTGTGCAAAAAAGGGAATAGCTCTGGGCGAGTTAGCATTCCTATTACTACTCCAGTTTGGCGGAGGAGGAGGGGACGCTTCAGAACACAGCATCTTCTAGGTTTTATCATGCAGGAGGCAAATGATGGAGTTTGTGGAAAGGAGAATTCCTCCCAAACTTGTCTCTATGAATCACCAGGCTCAGAAGCCAGGGAGCTGTCATCCCTGCCCGGCCTGGCTGGGTTCAGGGAGAGCCGTGTAAGGATGGGGCCCACTGGCTGGGGGCCTGGAGCTTAGGGCCATGACCTCACCCTTAATTCAAGCCCAAGTGGGCAGGTCACCCCCTGTGTCTCCTTTTATTTTTGAAGATCTATATTTATCCAGCCTGGGGCTGGACCATGCAGAACTTGCAGCAGCCACCACAGCAGTAGTGCTTGAAAAAGTTTTTTAACCTTGGAGAACTTAGAGAGCTGGCATGTTCCCTGCCACCCCGCCTCTCTCCATGAGCGTGCCCACGAACCCCTGGGTTTCTAGGTGTGTTTGTTTTGCCAGCTGTGTTCTTGGGAGCTTGGCGAGGAGGGCCTTGGCCCAGGCTGGGTTGGTACTTCAGCGCCTTTAGGCAGCTTGGGCAGATAGATGTTCTCTCTCTGTCTATCTCTACCCTAGGGCTTTTGTGGAATTTCAGTCTTTTTAGGCAGTACCCAAGGTTGGAATCCTTGTTGCTAAGAGTCTTTGTTTGGCCTGGTTTGTTTTCTTCTCCCAAGTTTCAGAAGGGCCTTGGGGGCTTCAGGGAGCAAATTGGTTCTCTGAGTATGTCAACGTCATTGATCCAGGTGTGGAAGCCACATGGGACAGCGGATGCACTCGGGCTAAGGGGTCCTTGTCAGGGTTGTGTCTGTGGGATGACTGCCACCTTGAAGTGACTCCTCTGTTTGCTTCCAACAGAGCTGCGGCTTTCTGAGAAGCTTAGCGACTATGGTGTCACAGTGCCCTTCAGCACAGATTTTCGGGGACGCTTCCTCTCCCATGTGGTATCAGGCCCAGCAGCAGCAGCAGCCACTGCCACCACCTCCACGATGACTGAGCATGCGGACGGACCACACCTACGGGTGGCTCGCAGCCCCCTGGGGACCACCACAGAGGAGCCCTTCTCGCTCTACTTCAACGTGACTGTGTTTGGGGAACAACTGCACTTAGGCCTGCGGCCCAACCAGAGGCTGGTGGTGCCAGGAGCCATGGTGGAATGGCAGGAGGATTTTCAGGAGCTGTTCCGGCAGCCCTTGCACCAGGACTGTGTGTACACAGGCAATGTCACCGGCATGCCTGGGGCAACTGTGGCCATTAGCAACTGTGATGGACTGGTAAGGGATACGCCTCTCACCCCATTCTGTACCTGTCCCCAGTCCCAGCTCACACAGCTTCCTTCTTGGCTCCCCCAAGGCATGTGGCGCAGTGTGACCCAAGTCAGGGGCTTTGCTGTCTTCCATAGAGGGAACTGTGTGCCTCTGCAAGCTACCAGGAGTATGCTCTATCAGGCCTAATTGGGGGCCAAGCTGGGATGAGGCCAATCCTTCAGCCACCACGGGCTTATGCCCTGACACAGCCAGTTGGGAAGGAGAAGATAGAGGAGAATGAAGAGGAAAAGGAGGATGAGAAAGAAGGGGCAGGCTCTGGCAGCTGCCAGGCTTTGAATCGTAGTTGCACTATGAGGTAGCTGTGGGATTGTGGATGTGTCAACTTCCTGTGGCTCTTTGTCTAGTGTGGAATATGGGGGCTCCTTCATGCTGCATGTGTGTACAGTTCCAGATACTAGGGAGCTAGCAGTGCCTGGAACAGACTCAGCCCCTGCCTTCATATCACTCACTTGCTGATGGCAATACTGCAATTGGGGTTGACACATGCCAGGAGCATGGCCAGGGCTCAGTCCTCTCATAGGTATTCGTATGGCTGCTGTTGTGTTTCCTTGCCCTACTCTTCTCAAAGCTGGCCTGCTCTGCCTGGGCCCCTGAGAACTCTCCTCCCTCAGGCAATGGCCATGTCCCAGCTAGTTGGCTCCATATTGCAAACCAGAAAGCCACAATGGCTTGCTTGCTGGCTGACTTTTTTGTTTCTTCCTTTCAATTTATGTATTTGTTGGATACACAGAGAGAGTATGAGACAGGGAGAGACAGATAAAAAGGTCTTTTGTCGACTGATTCACTCCACAGATGGTCATCACAATGACTGGGCTGGTTCAGAACAAAGCCAGGAGCTTCTTCCAGGTCTCCCATGTGGATGTAGGGACCCAAGCACTTGAACCATCTTTAACTGCCTTCCCAGGTGCATGAACAGGGAGCTGGATCAGAACTACAGCAACAGGGAAGGAATTGGCACTCTCAGATAAGATGGTAATAGTGTAGGTTGGTCTCTTTCTCTCATTCTCCACTGCAGCTGCTCTCACTCCCTTCATGGTTCCCTCCTTGGCCTGGGAGTCCCTTATGAGCTTATATGGCAGCCTCGAGACCTGGTAGGTGGCTCTTTACAGGTTTCTACTTAGTTGGGGACATTAGGTGTGAGCTGATGGACTCCAAAAGAAACTGACCTGTCCTGAGAGAGAAAGAGTGGTTCAAGGGGAGCGTTCCTTCTACCTCCCCATTCACATGAAACAAGTCCTTGCCCTGGACGCACCGTCTTTGTCTAAGCTAGTGCCTCTTCACCGTATATTCAGTGTTAGCCCTAGGGAGACACTGCAGACTGTTTTGCCCTGATCACTTCCCCCTTGTCAAATGTCCCCACCTGAGATGCTCCAATGACTCAGATCCTGTGTGTATGTCTGTGTTTTGTCTATGAAGGAGCTAGTTACCTTTGCCTACTCCAACATCAGCTTGTACTCCCTTGGATGTGATTAGCCCTCCCACTGAGAGGCTTGACTTGGCACTGGTTGGGTTCAAAGCAGAACAGGGGTGCCAGAATCCCTGCAGCACCTGTCAGGGATGTATAATCTATGTCCTAGGGGAGAAAACTCAGGATGTGTCTTTTGGAAATTTGTAGGTAAGTGGAGCAAGGGTTTCACAGAGCTGTCTTTGAGAAAAAAAGGTTGTAACATGAGCAGGGGAGCCCAAGGTCTTGCCTGACTTCTAGGTAGAGCACCCATTGCCAGCCTAGCTGTGCCATGCTGAGCACAGGAACCCTTCACTGGAGCCTCAGTGAAAATGTAGGTGTTCCAAGAAGTCATGCAGGGATGTGGTATCCATGCGAGAGAGCTGGGAAGAGCTAATAGAGGCTGGAAGCTTTGCTAAATGGTGACCCCATGAGTTCTTTCTGAAGTTGTTGCACAGGTGGAAACAAGTCTTTGGGTGCCAGGGTTTGGGCTGCCCCTGTGATGGGGAGCTACTTAGGACATGCATACTCGAGCTTGGGATGAGGGGGGTCCTCGTCAGCCCCTAGTCACCGTCCATCTATTGAGAAGCAATGACTGACTGCAGGGACCAGGGTGCCTAGGACCCCGACACAGCCACCCGGCAACTATATAGTTTCAGTGTGTGTGAGGACAACTCATGCTCTGGGCTTAAGGCTGGCAGCTGGCCGAGTGGGGGCTGTTGGCTGGGCCTGGGACTGAGCATTGCTCATATGCCTGTGCTGCCACTGGGTGGTCTCTGGGTGAATGTATCCCTTGCCTAGGTGGCCTTGGGTAAGTCACCCATTCTCTCCCCAGAGGTGTTACTTATATTGTCTACTCCCTGACAGATGGGGCCTGAGGCTGTGATGTGTGCAGTAGCTGGGTCAAGCGCCGGGTTAGGCCCAGGGGTAGGCTGTGGATGGGCTTACCCTGGCCCCTCTTGGACTGAGCCTTGCCTCAGGCCAGGCCTGAGCTCTCCGACAGAGCAGGCCAAGAACTTCCTTCTTCCCAGTCCACTCCTGGAAGCTGCCTGTGTCCAGCAAGGCTGTTTTGCAGTGTCCCAGCTCAGCTGACCGTTGCCCTCAGGGGTCACGTGCAGTCACATCTGATAAGAAGCTTTAACTCTCAACACCTAAACATGGTCCCTGGGCCTCAGCCTCATTCCTCTCACCTCTCAGATGTTCATTCTTTCCAAGGAGAAGGTCCTGGATGCTGGCCCCGGGCATCAGAACAGAAGCAAATGGAAGAAACACAGGTGGCAGCAAGGACTGAGCTCTGGCCATAGCCCAGGCAGGCAGGCAGGTATCCTATTAAATACATTCGTTCATGGTGCCTATTTTGTAGATGTGGACCCTGAGTCAGAGGGAGGTGAGGTGAAGATGACACAGGTGGCTTCTTGGAACTGGGTCTTGGTGTTGTGCAGTGCCCTGCTGCCCACACAGCAATTGTCCAGCTACTTGTTTTGTAGGAAGTCAGCCCTGGTCTTGAGGAATTGGATGCCTTAGTAGCAGTTTGCTTTCCAGCAGTTTGCACTTGTTGATATTCCAGGGCACAGGGTGCCTGGTGCTCAGGAAAAGGAAGTGGTGATCCTCTTACGGGTCAGAAGTGACATCAGAACTGGGCCCTGCAGTTTGAATAGAAGTTGGCTGGAGCCAGTCTGTGGGGAAGAAGCTCTGGATGGAGGGAAGAACTTGAGTAAGCACATGATGGAGGGAGGAGGTGATACCAAGCCACAGGTGCTGGAGAGATGATCTTGTGGGACATGCAGGGCAGACCTAGAAGGAAAGCAGGATTCAAGGGACATGGAGTGGGGACAGGGCAGCCTGCTTCCTGCAAGAGGCTTGGCTGGAATCCTGAAGACTGGGAACACCCCTCTGTGCCAGCGCCCTCCTGCTCTGGCCCCTAAGGCCTCCTGGGAGCATTGCAGAGGCTGCTGCTGGCTCTGGTCTTGAGGCAGTTTGAAACCAGACCCCTGTCAATCCTGTCTCCTTGGTTATTCCTGGTGCCAGTGCTGGACCAGGTTGGGCCTGGGCTGGGCTACAGGTTTAGGGAAGAGCAACATTGGTCCCTGCTGTTGGCCTCCATGGCTGGATGAACTTCTTGGTGGTCCCTGCTGTGGATTTTGGATGAAACCCCCAAGTGGGCAGAGATTTGCAGCTGTCTGTCACGTGTGCTGGTGGCTCATCCTCGCTGGCAGCAGCTGGATGCTTCAGCGTGGGCAGCAGTCATCATCCTAGGCTGCTCACCTATGGGCCAGTTGCAGACTTATGTGAGAACAGCTAAAGGACCCTTTGATTTTGTTTGGAACATCTATGTAGGCTCCCTGGTGGAAGTGGCATCAGCTCAGGCCTTTTCAGGCATACACATGGAATAAAGTGTTGGAAGAATGACTGACCCAGGCGGTTCTGAGGCTGTTCAGAGGCAGGAAATAAGGGCTCTGGGGAGGCCCAGTCCTCTGGGATTAGGATGCTGTTGGGCTGAGAGTCCCAGAGGGAATGTCCCTGGGGAACAGCAGCGACCTGATGGGCCGTGCATCAGAGCTGCTGCTACTCTGTGCTTGGGAGGGGCCTGAGAACCTGGACTGGGGGCAGCTCTTTGTGGGTCCTACAGGAGTTGTGGGGAGCAGGTTGGGAGTTCGCAGAGTGGGGTTTCTAGTTCTCATGGTGCCCTGCCTCCACCATGTTCCTCTAGACCCCAAGCCACCAGCTTCCTGAGGGCTGTCCCCCCATTGTCTGCCCGGATCCTGCGCCTCGGGGTCCTGCGCTAGACTGTCAGGCCTCCTCCCTTTGCCTTCAGCGTCTCTGTGAGTCAGAGTCTGGCAGAGAAGCAGCTGCACGTGTAAGGTCACATCTGGTTCCGTCTTTCACTCCAAGAGCCTGCATTTCTGATGGGTTACATGAAGTAAACCCCGGGCAGGCAGTGTGTGGGGAGGAGGCAGGGAGGCTGGATCCCAGCCCTGCTGCTTCGCACAGCAGTGGCCACAGCGAAGCTCCCGAGCCTCTGTCCTCAGTCTTTGTGCCTTTAAAGTAGGACTTCAGGGACCCATACTGTGGTGCAGTGGGTTAAGATGCCACTGCAATCCAGCTCCCTATTAATGTGTCTGGGAAAGCAAAAGATGGCCCAAGTTGCTTGGACTGCTGTACCCATGTGGAGAGATGAGCTGGAGTTCTTGGCTTTGAATTGATCCAGCTCTTGCTGTTGCAGTGATTTGAGATATTTTGTTCTCTTTTATTTTTGAAAAAAATTTTAAAAATGGAACTAGAAAGAGAATGAGAAGCTAATAGCTAGAGTAAGAAGCTCTTTGTGGGAATCTGACAATGTTCTAGAACTAATTATGGTGGTGGTGCAACTCCATCCTTATGCTGTAAACCATTGCATACATTGACCGGGGGAACTGGGTGCCTTGTGGACTCTGCAGAGCTGCTCCAGAAATGGCCTGGGAACAACTAACAAGTAACTGACCTGGACCAGTAACAAGTATTG